AAGCGTCGGAGGCCACTCCTCCCTGCCCCTCCTGCTCCCCCGTCTTCTGCTCCCCTCTCTCCTGGGGGGCTGCTCCCAGCCAGACGGGAACAGCTGCCCAGGGGAAAGGGTGTCCGTGTCTCAGTTCATGCTTGTTGCCCCCTCACCCCATCTGTGGAGGATCCAAACCCCGGGTCTGGATAAGGCCCCAGGGGAGAGGGGAAAGGAGGCAGGGCAGAGCTCACCTGCCTCTGGGCTCCAGGGAGAACTTGTTTGCTGGTTTGGGGCATTTAAGATAAAAGCTGATACAGGAACTAAAAGACTATTTTTTTTCCCATGACACACTGGAGATCTCCCTCTTTGGAGCAGATTGAATTAAACTAGTCTGCTCTGCACACACGCTGAGGTGAACTGTGCTGTGCCACGTGCAGTTGTGTAAGTGGCAGAAGGCACGGCAGCACACAGAAAACGGCAGTGGTGCACTTTTGAACCATAGCCCCTTTAAAGTGTTTTAGTTCAAAAGTGTGTCATGACCCAATGATTGTGTGCGTGCTTCGGCACTGCAGAATTATTTCCCGCCACACGGAGCTTTCTTTGCACGGTGCAATTCTCAGCTGCAGAGAGAAATCCCCGGTGCAAATGTGTGTCCCACTATTGGCTGTTTCTAAATTATTCCCACATGGCGGCTAGCGATTGGCTTGCTAGCCGTATAAGAGGTTTGAGCAGTTTCCGCCCAAGCCGGAGATCTCCGAGAATCTCGGGAGGACCCCGAGATCCCCGATTCCGAGAATTCCGGGAGAAATCCGAGAGAATTCCATGATTACCTCGTGGACTTCTACGTAAATCTCGGACCAACTGGTGGGCTAATCTGCTACCAAGAATCTCTCCCTGTCATCGAACGCTATCCCGACATATCCCTACCCTGTGTGCTCGTCGAGAGTCATATTTTGGACTCTCATTTTGGTATCCAGAGCTCTGTCCGGTTTGTTAACAAGAAGCTCGAACTTCCTACATCTCTTGTTTGCGTTTGTTTTGCGGAGCCTAGCAAACTCCACGTGTGTGTCTTCGGTGGAGCCTAGCAAACTCCACGTGTGTTTGTCTGTAACTGCAACGCAAGCAAGCTTTCCTGCCTGCACCGCGACCATCTACGGTGTAAGTAAAGTTTTCTTTGTTCAACCGCTATGAGTCCGTGCCTAATTCTAGTCCGTCGTGCTGAATTCCCCACCCACATGCCCGGGCTGCTGGCCACAGCCCCTCCGCCCCCACAAAGTGCAACACCACCATTTTCTCAGTGGTGACACTCATTTTGCTGCTTATACAACCGGAAGTGTCACAGTGCCAGGGACTTTTCAAAGCTCCTAGCACTGTAGCACTTGCATGTGTAAAAATGCCCCAAAACTGTAAAGGGCTGTGCGACTTCACACCAATTATATCCCCTGAAAGACCTGCCCAGGTTATCATAACTAGGGAGCAACACGTAGGGCAGCAGGGCAGGAGATAGAGCACATCTGCTCTCCTACAAATAACATTTACCTTGAGATATTCAGAAGCCTTACAGAGGCTCGAGGGCACAATTTGTAATGCAGTCAGAACCCTTTGGGTAGACAGCTTAACCACTTCCAAGTACAAGAGGCTGGGGCCATTTGTAAAGGAGGTGTTTCAGCTGCTGGACACACACACAAAGCCCAGTCTCATCCCAGATGGGACCCTAAAACACTCCCAGGGCCTGCAAGGATCTGGGGCTCCACTCCCCAAGGGGGTTGGCTGACCCACAGACACTCTGTAATACCTGGCTCTGGATGCTGCAGCTGTGCTTCCTCTAAAGTCCCTACCTAGCATTCAGTGAAGCCAGCTGTAGCTACCAAAAAAGTTGGCACCTGTGATTAGTTAGTCTATAGGATACAGCTCTACCCCTGCCTTCTTTAAACCTGTCCCCAGCCTAGGGCTCAAGCCACAGTCTTGGCTGCTGAACAAACCCCAGAGGGCTGCTCGCATAGAGGAGACAAGGTGACATGCACACACACACTTCTGCTCTGTAAATGGCATAGCTGGGGACACGGTGAAACAGCAGAGGAGGAGCTGAAGAAAAAAACTGGAAGCAGAGTCTCAACAGCTATACAACAAGTATGTCACGCTCCGTATTGCAAGGAAAAAAAACCCTGCACAAACACATAGGGACCACTCACAGATGGACCAGATGCGTTCTTCTTCCACCTGCTTCATCCCCAAAGCTCACAGCCCCCAACTGATGAACCAAAATGACCCAGGTCCCCCAGATAAGGACACAGTCATCTAAGGTCGGATTGAGCAAAACCTTGATAATTTCATCCAGAATATTTACACCAAGAGGATAAACCTGATGGAGAAGGCTGAACGTAGCCAGCTCAGGTTACGTAAAGAGACAGGGTAAGGATGTGTCTCTCTGCTGGGCCCTTCCTTATCAAACTGTCACAGAGCAGAGACTTTGGGGAGAGACAAAGGTGGCTTTCTTCAACACAGGGCCCTCAGCCCGTTAAGAACAAGCCCTCGTATTGGCCACAGCCCGATACTCATCATTGCCTTTTTACTCTCATTTTCATGTCACCTACAAACCATAGGCAGAGTCTGTATGGAGGAGCCCTCACACCTCCAGGCAGAAGACCGGGCTCTCTTGGCCTTCCAGCCAGGGCTGCCACAAACACAAGGGGAGCCGGGTGGGATGTGTTAAGGACAGTGTATGGAGGAGCCCTCACACCTCCAGGCAGAAGACCGGGCTCTCTTGGCCTTCCAGCCAGGGCTGCCACAAACACAAGGGGAGCCGGGTGGGATGTGTTAAGGACAGGCCCTGCTTGCTCTACCCCGCGGGACACACACAATCAGTCACACAACAACCATGGCCCACCTAGCTCCCTGAGCCAGGGGAGTAGCAGGGGGTCGACCCCAGGGATGTTCTCTGTCATTGGGGCTTTACCAAGAAAGGAAAGTGTTTCCGAAATGACAGACTAAGACTGGATTGTACGGTGGCAACAGTGCACCTACACTTGCAGTATTTCCCACTCACATCTCTTAGGGACTGCCATCACCTAGACTCCCTCCCCTCCCCAACCCAGACTGCACCCCTCTGCCAGGCCCTGAGCTCTGAATTACTCACTGTGCAGGGACTACATCTCATGTTAATGCTGTCTCAGCCAAGCCCATAGCCCATGTACAAACCTGAGCACTCCCTCTTCTCTCTCAGCCTCCCCCACCCATCTGTGCCTTGCCTGGAGACCAGAGATCCACTGTCTGCCTCAGGGCTCTCTCCATCTCTGCACACATGGCACCAATCAATGCTGTGGATAGTGGCCGGGGGCTGACATTCAAACCCCCTCCCATCCCATAACGGGAACCTTGACATTGGAGAGCATATCCGAGCCCAGGGAGACCCTGGGCCTGCTGCCTTGCCAGTCAGTGGACCCAGGTGCACACGTGGAGGGGGCTCCAGCGTAGGGTTACCATATGTCTGGTTTTTCGCAGATATGTCCTCTTTTGTGGCCCCCTGTGCTGCGTCTGGGTGGGTTTTGAAAAAGCAGATAAATGTCTGGGTTTTTTGCTGTTCCTCTGCTCTCCAAGACGGGCTGTTTGAGGCAAAGTGAACTGCCAGTTGGGGGTCATATGCTCCCCGTCCCAGCTCCAGCAAGGTAAAGAAAGAGCGAGAGACTGGGCACATGTGCAATGCGGGAGCTGCTGGGGCAGCAGGGCTGGTGGGGTGGGCAGAGGTCTGC